TCTTCTCCATTCTTTCAACCACTGGATTCCAAATCTGAGAGGAAGTATATTTAGCTCCCAGAGGGAGCCCCAAGTACTTGACCGGAAGATGGGCAGTCTGACAAGCCATAATTTCTGCACAAACTTCTAGATTTGTAACAAGACCTACAGGGATAATCTGAGATTTACTCAAATTAACCTTAAGGCCAGGCACCACCTCAAACCAACTCAAAATTCCAAGTACCATCTCCAGTTGATTAGGAGAAGCATCAACAAAGCATAAGGTGTCATCAACAAATTGAAGAATATTGACTTTTTCTTTCCCCAGAGCAATTGCAAAGCCCTTCCAAAGCCCATTCTCAGCAGCCTTCTTGCTAAAGAGAGATAAAATTTCCATGACACAAATGAAGAGTAGGGGAGAGAGAGGGTCACCTTGCCTTAAACCTCTTGAACTTCCAAAAAACCCCATCGTTTGATTTATATTTGATCTACTATTAAACGTTATTAAGTGTTCATCATTCTTTTTGAAATATGTGTTTACTATTGCCATATCGTAAGCTATTGCAAATTTTAAAATTGTATCTTTTGTTTCATTTCTCTTCCCAAACCCAAATCTTCCATGCACCATATTATATACTCACTTCTTTCCCCCACATGTTCATTTAGGTCCCCTCTTATAAAAGATCTTCTTTCATTTGGAATTTCTTGGATTAATCTTTGTAAGTTTTCCCAAAATTGTCTTTTAATGTTTTTTTTCCCCTAAACCCACCTGAGTTGCATAAGCATTAATTATGTTAGTGATTTTCTCACATAAAACAAGTCTACTTCAAATTGTTCCATCTCCAATTCTTTTAACATTTACAATTTCATTTTTAGATTCTACTATTATCACTCTCCATTTCTATTATTTACTTCTCTTAAACGTATCTTGTAGCCATCAATTTCTTTAGTTTCTCCCTCCTTCCATTTAGTTTCTTGCACATTAATCATTCTCTTCATTGTGTCTACTAATTCTATAGTCTCTTCTATTAATGTACATTCCAAGTGGCTAGTCAGATTTATTTTCTTGGACTAACTTCTTTACCCGCCCTCGTCCAAAAGTACGTGAGTACCCTTGTGTCTGTCTTTATAAGATAGAAAGAGAAGGAAGAGGAAGGGGGAGATGACTTATTGCCTCTATTGGACGTCACCGTTGCCATGGATGGATGTTACCATTGCCAATAAATCTCTCTCTCTCTCTCTCATGTCTCAATCTCCTCTCTTATCTTTCTCAGTCATCCTCTCTCCTTAAATATTCTTTACATGTTATTATTATAACTTAAATATTTTAATTCAATATTTCTTCATCATTTGAACAACCGTGACTCGTGAATAATTTGAATGGTCACTGGTTTAACCATCTGGGTTGACAGGTTTTGACCGAAATCAATGATTTCTTGCAAATTGCTGGGTTTTTAGTATAATGGGCCTGGAATCTTGGCCAGGTGATGGGTTGACTGGTCTGACCGGCCAGTTCAACGACAGGTTAAGAACATTGGTGGTACCTGGAAATTCTTGCATTGCATTTTACATGGTAGCATATTTAATATTTCCTCTTATTCATTTTTTTTTTCTCTCTCTCTCTCTCCCCTCCTCCCCAACAGATTCGAGGACCTCTTTCTACCATAAGGACTTTGAGTAAAATGTTATCTGTTCATATGAAGAGAAGTGAGGTTTGTGGGATATGAGTTGTCTGAGATTGTTTGAGAATTCAGAGTTTACCTTTTCAGCATTTTCTTTGTCTCTGTATGTTTCTATTTCTAGAATATAATGATATCAATATGGTTTTGTAGGTCTCATATGATGTCATTGAAGATATACTGGTACAAGGTGATCGTATGCGAGATACATTGCAGCAACTTCAGGATGCTGTCTACCTTACGAAGGCACTATCTCTCTCTCACTTCTTGTTTCCATTTTTTTGTGGTAATCTATGAAACAACTTGCTAAAAGGAAGCCTTTCTGCAAAGTAGCAATTGAACTATAGGTTCTTCTTTCTCCTCTCTGTTTATTTGTTTATTTATTTATTTTTTAAGTACTTTCCAACAGAAACAGTATGGGTATGTATTGTACATTTTATATCCAAAGCATTTGAAGCACTTCAAAGGATGCAAACTGATTCACAAAATATGGACCTGCAGTTCCACCACCCACTAAAAAAACATTATATGGGAATAGAGCTATCACTATACTAAAAACCTTCTTCATCCTATAATTTGCTAAGACTTTAATTGAACTTAGTTTTCTGTAAATCCCTCTTATCTGAACTGTGCTGTTAGCCAAGAGCTGAAGATCTTATGAATCTCATTTGTGAAGTTAGCTCAGCATCACGGTTTACTTTGCATCCTTTGGCACTGCTTTGTTGCATTTACTTAATCTCCTTCAATTATCAGTGGAAGAAGTCGAGTTTGCTTGGTGATTCGAGCACCGACTGGGAGGACCTTACTTTTGCTTCTGTTGAGTCTGCATTGCCCATGTGGCCACTAAGGCCCCGTTTGGCATCACTTCTCAGAATCGTTTCTGGCGATTCTCACGATTCTGAGAATGAGAATTGTGTTTGGTTTTGCCCGACCCTCGTTTCTCATTCGAAATGGGATGAAAAAAGCCCTCCACCAACTCGATTCATTGGAATGAAAAAAATTGGATTATCCGAATGAGAATTCTTGGTCAAATTCATTCTCACGACATCCTTCTTTAGAAAACGGATGCGTGTGACAAGAGTCACACGTGATAGTGAGGGTACAATGGTAATTGCAAACATCTTCAACCTAAAACCCTCGTTCTCTTCACATTTTGCCTTGCATCTTCTTGCAAGTTGCAACGACTCTCTCTCCATCCCTCTCCAGCGCCGTCGACATCCTCTTCCTCATATTCTATCTCAGGTAATATTTCAACCAGTTTTGTTTTCTCCACATCATCTTCCTCATACGACATCTTATTGCAAGTTGCAACGACTCTCTCCATCGTTTTTCTCTTTTCTTCTCAGTCTGAGAATCCTTTCAGTCGTTCTTTCTCCACCGGTCACTCTCCCAACTCACAGGTATGGAACTCTTGATCCCAATAAATTTTATTTTTGGTGCATGGGGCTGTTACAGATGCATCCACAAAACGATAAATTGATTGTTTCGTTTTCTCTTGATCCCAAAAAAAATGATTTTTGCTCACGGATGGTGTATGGTGATGCTGTAGCTAGGATGGCAATGTAGCAGTTAAATACTTTTTTAGTTGAAGTCCTTGAATTGCTCAAGGGTGGTGATGCTGTAGCTAGGACGGATTGTTGCATCATTTTGTCTATCAAATAATTGATTCAAAGAAATTGGTTGCTGCCAAACGTGATTCTATTTCTGAGAAACAAGAATCAGATGACTGTGCCAAACAGGACTACAGTGATTCTCAGGATGAAAATTCTCAGAATCCGTCCTTTTCAGAAAGGATTCTAATAATGAGATTCTCTGGAGTCTGGCTTAAGCATGATCCCTCCAACCCTAGCTGGACTCATTTTCCCCTTAGGAACTATCCTCAAACTGAAGTAATGAAGCTCTCCTGGTAGGGCCTCTAGGAATCTCAGGTAATTTTTTTTTTCTTAGACAAGCAGCTGAGATGCCTTCTAAGTTCATTTTGGTCCAACATCCATGAGCCAAGGATTGAAAGAAGTCAAGCCTCTCAGTGCCTCAAAGGAAGCCTCTATAAAAATTCTTCTTTTTATTTTTTCCCACACATTCCAAATGATTGCACTAGTAGTTGTTTTACTTCCACTCTCACCCCTGGCTTTTATCCTCTCCAATAATGAGGCACATCTTGCAAAGATGCACACAGATGGATGGAGTAAATGGGTAGCTGATTCTCCATTGTGAAGGAACATAATACACACAATGGAGACAACTTTTTCGACAAATATCTTTCTTTGTACCTGTTCATAAGTATCTTTCTACAAATAGCTATGTGAAAGAGGAAGCTCTATGTGGAAAATTTAAGAGAACTTTTTCTTTATGAGAGCACTTGCCCCAGGATTTGTAGTGGTTGAGAGGAAGAAGGATTTTTGCTCCAAAGGCATCTGAAGGGTTGGGAGCCCAAATGTGATGGTTGGAAGGGAGGGAAAGAGGAATTTCACCTTGAGGAGAGGCAGTTTTCTCAACCTTTGCCCCTCCAAGGGATTCGCAAAATTCAAGGTTTCTTCATGTAGTCCATCGTGTAAAAAATTAATGCTTGTGCATGGTTGCTTTGACTGTAGCTGGTGTAAGCTCCCAAGGAAGATTATGAAAGTACTCTTTGTACTTATCTGTACTTCATTTCACAATGTATTGTAATGCTGCTAAATAATCTTTCAATTTTTTATGTTCTCCCTCCCTCCCTCCTGTTCATTATCCCCTACAGTAGTAAAGAATCATCTTATTTGCTAAGATTATTGGTAGACTCGATTTGCCCTTTTATAGTGGTTGCTCAAATTCATAGTATGTTTCTCATCTTATCTTTTGTTACCAAAAGATCCATTCTAATGTATCTGTTTATGCATGTTTTCCAGGCTAACATAGTGCATTATAATGAAGAAACATTAAAGAAAATACGTAGCTCAACGCATGCAGAATCAATGAGGTCTCAATTTTCCAATAACATTGAGGAAACTCACGGTGTTAACGCACAAGAATTAGGTTCAACACTTCCTCTAAATTCTGCAGCAAAGGATTTGGAGATGCCTATGCCGCCTCTTGCTCTTGCAGCATTACAACAGCACAATATCAGGTATGATTTTTCCCTGCATGGAGCATCAGGTTTGGACTGGTCTCAGTTCAGTTGTCTTCATTTTCCTATCTCTATTCTGTTGGTACTTGGTAGGCCATCCTTATACTCAACTTTTCTGTCAATTCTTTTTGGTCAACAATGGTGCTCAAGGTTCTTGTAAATTGTTGAAGGCATTTTTTTTTTAAATCCAAATAATATTTAAATAAATTATGACCCAAATAAGTGGGTTGGCTAGTCTGCTAGCCAAATCACCAAAACTATAAAAAAGTGGCCCATATGGGAGTTCCCTCTCTTTAAGTGGGAGGGACAGGTGTCCTTCACCTAGGGGGAGGAGGTAGTTACATAAATACCCCACTCCCTATTTAAGCTTCTTAAGGGGAAGCTAGGCTCCCCTCTTCGGAGAAAATTGTGTCTCAAGAGATTCTTAAGAACAACCAAGATAAAGAGAGACGAAAAGATAAGTGCTCAAGGGAAGATAGGGAAGGGAAAGAAGTTTCACTATTACAGGTAGGAAAAGGAAGGTTCTCTCCGCAAATACTTCCTATATATGTCTTCTACTATGTACCTTCTTTCTCTCTTTTTGGTTTTTACTTTGGAGAAAGGAAATAAACCATCTATGACCAGGTGCTTCTACTTGGTTGATTATGGTCCCTCTTTCAAGACAAAGTTAGGGATTAAGCCATCTACAGTTTAATTCTCAAGGGCTGATTATGGTTCCCTTCAAATGAAAATGAAGAAGAGGGATAAAAACCGTCTACAATCAAATATTCAGTTTGATTGACCACGGTTCCCTTCTTGTATGCAAAATCCAAAGGATTAAGGTTTTCTACAGTCAGGATTTCATTTGATTGACTACAGCTTATTGTGAAGAAAGGAATGAGAAGGAAATCTTCTTTGCATAAAAAAGAAAAGAAAGCGAGAAATGTATTGTTGTAGAGTTTCTCAGTTATATTTTCTTTTTTCTTCTCATTCTTGTACACTTGATGCAAAAGAAATGCAAATGAAACGTTCTTTTTACGAAACACTCTATTGTTCTCTTTTTTTTTTCTTTGTTCTATGCATTCATTTCTCTAAGTCAGAATCAAAAGGTGTTCTCTACTTTCTTGTGGAGATGTAATTAAGGGGAACAATCCGGATAATTCCTTGAATGGTCCTTACCCAAAATAATAAAAACTCAACCACTTGATTGAGTGAATTATGTTGCATGAGAATTTATTAAAATTTTCACACCAACATAAATCTACCCATCAAAAAAGTGGTTGTGGTTTTAAGGGAAAAGTATCTAAACTTTCCCTTTTCAAAATTTCCCCTGCTTTTCAGAAATATGCTTAAACATCCCCTATTACAGAATTTCTGTTAAAACACAAGCAAAAATCTATAGTGACAAGAAAGCCTTCTCACTAAATAACAAAAGATGATTTTATGTGATTTAAATTTAAAAAATATCCTTATGTACCAAATATGGGTACACCTTACTATACTTTAGCCAACTTAACAAAAGAGATCTTATTCACTGAATGTTGTTGGACTTGGACTGGACTTAACGGTAGGACTGCCAAAGTCAGGAATCAGAACCCAATAGCTTATTTCACTGTAAAATAGGTTTAAAAGATAATCTAGAATCATTTTCAAATTTTTAATTTTTCTCACATTTTTTATTTGAATGCCAAATAGTTGAACCAGATGATCAAATTGTTCATCCCAGTCACAAAAAAATAGTAATCTTTCTGGTCTGAATCTAACAATATTTTATTTACCAATGTGGTCAAAAGGGAAACCTTAACAGAAGAGGGGATGGGAGGTGGTGACATTTCACTATTTACTTTCCCAGGTGATAATGGCATTTTAGTTTTGGTAACATCTAAATTTGCAATAGCAGTATATTTTTGGATTTATGAAAATTTATAAAAATCATGTAATGAAATTCAGTTCATGTGATGGATACCCCATGAAGGAAGTTTATGCTAAGCAAAAAACATGTGATAATGGATGTTTAAGCCCATTCCTGAAAAGCAGAGGGAAGTTTGGACCTGTTTCTATAAAGTATTGGGAAATGCAAGTAATTTTCCCTAATTTTTATAAGCCATGCATTGTTTTATTTTGCCTGTTAATATGAAAACTCCCTTTTGCTTATGCATTTTGTTTCTGTCAGGCAGACCATGCAATATCTCTGATGTACTACTAGAGTTGGTAGGAGCTGTGGTTCCTCTAGCTCATAAGCAGCAACGCAAAGTGGAACTCAGCGAACTCTCTCAGTCTTTATATGTTGCTGTAGAGGAATCTGCTTTGCGCCAGGCACTGAGCAATTTGATTGAGGGGGCACTATTGCGAACCCATGTTGGGGGCAAGGTTGAGATTATGTCAACTAGAGCACCAGCTGGTGGTGTCCTTGTGGTAATAGATGATGATGGGCCTGATATGCATTATATGGTAATTACTTTTTTTTTTATGGGTGATATGTTATTATCTATTTGCATTTCTTTTCTTCTTTAATAAAGTTGTTCTTTTTTATTTATTACCCAAAAAATTACTCTTTTTAACTATCAAAAAATGGTGATAACTTTTTCCCCCTTTCCAATTTGCAAATGGATTGCTAGAATGCTTTGTCTAAATTATGACTTGAAGGATTGTATCATACTTTCATATCTAATGGGTAGGTTTTATCTTTTTTTTTTGGTGAAAATAATAGGTAGGTAGTCTCACCTAGTTTCATCACGAGACATGAAACTCATGCAATTTCTACTTAATTGATTTGTTATTAATTTAAGCACCGAATGAATATTTATTGCACCCAGAAAATGGATATAAGCAGTCTTCATCCTCTGCTATACACATGACACACAAGTGGGAATAGGCAATGTATTAACCCAACTAGATGATTGACCCCAAAACAGCCCAACTAGATGATCTTAATGGCATGATCTATTTGTTCTTTGTACAATAAGATATATGTTTTTGGTCTAGTGAAAGGCTTTAGACTAGGGCTGCAAGTTGGGTTGCCCAATGTGAAGAATTTCAACTACATCAGGCTTGGGTTAGGATTTGGGTTCATTGAAAGATTAACAAATTTCCAACCCGACCTGACCCAAGTTGCAGCCCTACTTTAAACCTAAGTGTTGTTGTCATCCAATTAGGTCTATATTTAATCTGGATGACCAACTACATTGGGTGGATTGTTATGCTGGAGATTCTGATTTGGTGTATCACAGCCATACTACCATACATATGGATTCTCTAGGGTGCAGCAGATGCTTTCTAGACTGGCATAGGAAAAGTAAACCCATGCAATGCATGGATTGAATAGTAAATTGGTTAGGTTTAAGTTGGCAAATTTGGGTTTTGACATCATTTCAGATCCAGGCCAAGGTCCATGTTTAGGGTTGGCCTTGACCTAACACAATCCATCTCATTTATACCCCTGCTTTATTAGAGAGATTCCAAAGAGGTTCAAAGAGACTAAGTGATGGATTTAATGGGGGAGGGGAGATGTTACAATATTCACTGTTGAGAGAGAGTGAGTTTTGGGAACAATATTATTACAGAGAGTAATGGTAGGCTTTATTAGAGAAAGTTTAAGACTTGGGAGGGATTTTATTGAGACGTATACTTTTAATAATTTACTTCAAAAATAAATAACCACATGTATGAGAATGAGAGGAGAGAGGTTTCTACGAGCATTTTGAGGTGAGAAGACTCTTGGCCTCCCTCTTTCCTCTATATAATATTGATACACATTTCTAAATTCTAAATCTAGGATCATTAGCTTTTTGTTGTGGTGTGTATATGCAATTACTCAGTCTATCTCTTTCTTATTATTCATTTTTTAAAGTTGCACATTTACTTTACCTTACACATCTGTCCGATTTATTTTATCAAAATTGAGTGGATATTTGTGTGATTGTGTCCATTTTCTTGCAGACACAGATGCATTCACTTACACCGTTTGGGGCAGGCCTTCTATCTGAAGGTATGGTGGAAGACAACATGACTTGGAACTTTGTTGCTGGGTTGACAGTGGCTCGTGAGGTACTGGAGAGTTATGGGTGTGTTGTTCGTGTTATATCCCCCCGTACTCCAACTGCAGTCCTTGGAACAGGTGGAACCCGTCTGGAACTCTGGTTGCCTTCTCTTCCAGATGCATCTGGATCAATTGTCTCAGTTTAAGAAGTTTGACGTAAAAACTGAGGTTAACTATTGGAAGAGGTAATGCCAAGTAGAAGAATAGTCGAGTAGGTAGCTGGCACCATGATGAAGTTTGGCAGATTCAGGTGGTGGTAATACTCATTTAAGTCCTAGGGTTTTATGTATATAACCATATATGTAATTGAAGATTAGATGTGTAGCCTGTATGTAAATAATATGTTTTGGGGGTTATTTAAAATCCCCCGTCGGTGATCAAGTTCATTAGGTTTTTAATCAGAAGCTCAGGTTATATTTAATTGCGCTCACACTGGGGAGGCACGGATAAACAATGGTCCATCATTTGTTTATTTATTTTGTATTGGGGTTGGGGCGTTGTTTTCTCATTTTTTTTCTCTTCATTTTGCTTGTAACTGTAATGTAACGAGTGAGAATACAGATTACAAAGCACGAACATGGAGTGTTCGTTCTTCTATTCAGGTTTCAATGAAGTCCCTTATCTAGCTATCTTGAACATTTATATTGTATTAGGCAGGATTAGGAATGAAAGGAGTCATTGGAAATTTGAAATCATTGACTTGATGCAGAGCAAATCAACATTGATTTTATGACTAGGTTGATCTTGGAGGTGGAATGTGGTTGGTTCCGGAGTCAACCTAGGAGCCGGCAGCAGACCATTCACCCAGGGCAATATCTATGATGCCGAGCTCCTCACCAAAAGTTGGACAATCAGGATGAAACTAGGGTGGGCGTTGTAAGGTGTGAGCCAATTAAGTTGAAATGGATCAGAAGTGATCACTCTTACTGCTGAGGTGGAAATGGAGAAAGGCAAATAAAAGCAAAACCTAGTCATCACCAATGGCTACCCTCAACAAGAGAGGTGAGGTTGTTTTGCTTATTCTCCATTTCCATTAGTTTCCTATTCTTTCTCAACTCTAATTTCATCAAGTCCAGGTTGTGTATGTGTGTGTGGCTTAGGCTGGGTTTAGGTTGGTAAATCTGGGCTTTGACCCCGGGTTGAGTTGGTCCCCACTCCCCAGCTAATGAGCCAAATGCCTAGGTCTTCGGATTAGGTCTAAGTTGACCCTAAACTCAACCCAACCTGCTTAAGTTGCACCCTTACTTAGCTCTATAATAAAGTTAAGCATGCAACTTGGGTGGGTCGGGACAAGTTTAGAGTTAACCTAGGCCCAACCCTAAACATGGGCTTTAGGCTTGGGCACAGCTCAACCCTAGGTGAAACCCTTGTATAGGATTAGGTAGGTTAATCAGCTTTGGAAATCTTCTTATGATTTGCATTTTTATATTTCCGAGCTTCATTGCCGAATTAAGAAATATAATAAAAGTAAACTACATTCAAAATGTCATTACATAATATCTATTTTATTGTCCTTTATTTGACATCTTAATATACGACATTTTATGACTTTTTTTTTTGTTTTTTTTTTTATATATCAAAAGCATCTTGTATAGTCTTCTTATTAGTTGGTATTCACTTGAAACATTTTCCTGTAACCCTCTCTTACCAGCTTGTGCATCGTATTAGGAATCCTCACGGCTGTGTCATGTGTGTGTAAACAGACCAGAAAATTACAAGATTTTCTAGTTTTAACTCTCCTACGTTCTTCCAGACTCCCACTTTACAATTTGGTCATTAGGTTATAACTAAGTGAAGCATGTTTGGCACTATACATAGAAGTAGAACCACGTGGTAAAGGATTTTAATTGAAAACTGGTGAGCTCTATCAAATGCTCAATTTGGTGCCACTTAGAACTGGGTGCATACATTAATATTGCAGTTGAAATGTGAAGTTGTATACGTTTACAAAACTAATGAGACATGCATGCAGAATGCAATAAGTGATTTAATTCAGCCACTTCAATTGTTATCGAAGGTTTAGGTCCCTTATAATACATGTTGCCTACTTATGTGAACTGAAGGAGCTAACTGCAGGAGGCTGGAGCGGGTTAAGACTTAAGATTTAAGATACTATATGGCCTTTTATTTTTGCACATTTGACCTTTCCCTTTGTTTATTGCAGATACGATACTTAAGGCTCAGTTTGGCAAAGGAGCACAAATACAAATATATAGGATGCAAAACCCTGTATTAAATATATTATTTTGTATGTATTTATACAATACATATTTACATTTGTACTCTTTCCAAACTGAGCTTAAATGTCTAATTTATATCGATATGTATTTGATTGTTATTCCTGTACATGGAATTCTGGATCACGTTCCAATAAATATTGACAGACCGACACTGACTAGTTTATTATATCAGTGTGTTTCAGTTGCGGTAATGATGTTTTCGGATTTCTGAATTCTCCACTTCACTTCTAAGTTTTAACATTAACTCACTCTTCAGAGAACTCAAGTCTTGCTGAGGATTATTAATATTGCTTGAATTGAACATTAATTGGTTGCAGTGCAATTTTATTTGCACCAGTAAAACAATACAAATTCTGGTTTAATTTTATTTTAAGTTTTACTTTATTTGGCTTCAGGTCTTATTTTATTTCATTTATATTGCAATCAAATAAAATAAAGTAAAATTTGAAATAAAAATAAATCATAATTTACAATAAATCATTTTCACTACCATGATTTTGGATCGATCAATTGCAACCAAACACAGCAGCTTATGTTGTATTGCAAATACCATTGGTACGGTCAATTAATACTTGATACCCTCCCTCTGCCCAGAAAAATTGTTTTAGCTTTACCGTCATTTGCACCACCTCAAGCCTCAAGCCTCAAGCCTCTAGCCTCAGCCAGTTTTAGTGTTTTACATACTGGATTCTTCTTGCAGGCAGATGAGAATTTTCTTTCCACGTGGCAAAGAACATCTGGGAAATTGGCCGGATCAATTACTGATGCAATAATTATTTCAACTTCAGATTCATTAATTAAAGAACTAGCACGCACCTAGCAGATTCCTCGTCCTTTATAACTATTCAGTATTCACTGAGAGACAAAAGCAATAAATTCACTTAAAACTCTCACATACGGTGAGAGGGTACGAGTAAAATTAAGGTGACTTGATTTTCTCAACCTTTTTTCTATCACTGTGTGACGGGTATCAAAGACTTCTGTAAAACTCAGTTACTCGACTTCACCTGTGTAAGAAATCTGATATTATGCAATTTTTTGGTAAAGATGTGGTGGGATTCATAAAAAGGCTATAAGACAAAATTGGAAATGATATCTCGGGCGGGGTAGAAGAAAAACAAAGAGGTGTATGAAGACTTCAAATGAGCCCCTCACACCGTCACACCTATCATTAAAAAATGTTTTTAATACACGACAGAGATGTGATGTGGGACGTTGTGGAGGTAATTTTGTGGGGGGCTGATTCGGGATGAGACCCTTACTACTAACACTCATACAATGAAAATTGCATGCGATGCGATGCGATGCGATGCGATGTCATGTATTTATTTATTTTTTTGGTAAAATACATATTAGCACCCCCTAACTTTCAGATTCCAACAAAGAACCCCATCTTTTGTTAAATCGAGTGAGGAAATAAGTTAATTTATTAAAATATTCACTCAAGAAACTTCTATAAAATGAAAATTGCAAACAAAATAAGAAGAAAATGGGTAACAGCATGCTATGTAGCCAATCATAAATTAACAGGATAGTGTTTCATACACATGAGACTTTATCGGAAAACCTAAGCCAAACGCTACACACACTTCTTCAAATATTAACTAGTCAGAAAATGGGTAACATATTCAATTTTGATTGGGATAAAAAAGTTATTAATATCTATTAACGATATATTTTTTTTTTTGAAATTCCTCCTCGTCCCTTTTCTTCCTATACCAAAAAATGGCTCCATTTCTTTCAATAGCTGTGTGCAAGTAGGGACGTCAGTACTCAATAGGTTGGGTTTAGTGGTAAATTCGTTCTGACCCGAACACTATCAGGTTCGGGTTTCAGTCCAGCATTGGTTGAAGTGAATCCATATTAAATCAAATCTATTGACATTGCAACTTTTTCCAAAAAATAAAAAAAAAAGAAAAACAAAATTGCAGCATTAAAATATCTTTATGTAACAATATAGTCTTGGTCGAGTTCAGGTATACGGGTTGGATCAGGTTGATAATGCTTTGGAAGTTGGAACGGATTGTAGTTGAACCAAATTTGACCCACAACCCTAAGGATAAGAATCTCAACCTCCTTCAAAGTTCAAAACAAATAATTATAAAAACTGTCCCAGAAAAGAGAAAACACGTCAAATCTAAATATATTCTAATTTATAAAGACAAAGGCTTTCAAGTTTCAATACCTTACATAGGATCTGGCTCATATGGGTCCCATGAAAAAAAGCCCAACCCAAATTTAATTTCATTTTCTTAATTAATAAAAAAAGCCCAACCTAACTTTAAACATGAACCGATGAACGGATAATGGGTCCCAACTCCCAAATGAATTACGTCGGAATGGTTGACACGTACTAAGTTGGGGTGGTGATTACCCTAACTAGTATTTGAAAATTGAAGGCAGCAAATGAAGCCGAAACCGTTTTTTTTCTCTTCTCTTCTCTTCTCTTTTCTCTCTCTCTCGGCGTGATAAACTATCTCATTGTTATAAAAGTTCACGAGAAAATCACACCTCTATTTTCGTAAAATTCCACTATTCATTCTTTTGTATTTTTGCTTTTTTCCGGCAAATAAAAAGGAGCGGGAGGGAGCCTGCTTCTTCCTTTTCCTGGTGTTTTGGCCTTTTGTTCGTGTTTCAAAACTAATCACTAATCACCAAGTTGGAGTGTTGGGAAGGACTGGAGCTGCTGCTGCTGGACCTTTTTTCCGACTCTCGGAGACTCTTATCATCGTTGTTTCTCGTGATTTTCAGCATTAGGTATCCATCCACTTCAGTGAGTGATCTTCCTCCTTGTTTTTCTTTTCTTAGGGTTTCTCGCCGCTGGACATTTCTTCCTTCTATTATATTCGTGGCGCGTTTAATGTTGTTTTTCTCTTTTCATAAATTGTATTAAGAGATGGTCATTAGAGCTTTTGCTGCGTTAGGATTTCGTACAACAGGATCTCTCTCCACTGAACAACTGAACAGAACGGAATGGTGAAACGAGTCTTAGTAGATGATGATGATGATGATGATGACTTTGCCTTTTTTTTTCCCACTTTAGTATCTAGTTTGTATTAGTTCGATTAAAAGAAAGTTTTATTCCTAGTTCTGTTCTGATTTCTCAGTTCTCTGTGATCGGTATAATTCGTTCCCTTCTTAGATCCGCCTTTTCTTTTCACAAGTTTTTGATTTTATACGTAAGAACCGTAATTCTTGTTGTTGTGAAACCAGAGATGATATTCATAAAAATAAAAGTGGCTTATAATCAGGGTGCATGGTGTTTGTTTCCTTAACTTGAGGGGTAAATCCTTGATCCTTCCGTGTATTCAGTATCTTTCTTTATAAGCAAGTAGCACACTAGCTGTTTGTTTTAGTTGGTTTTTTTGGGAACTGGGTTATACGTGTATTAAATCATTTGTAACTATTGGTCAAAAAGGGCACGTGATTGCTTGCTCAAGCATCTGCTGTTAAGGGACGCAATTGGGGGTGAGGGAGGGTTTCCTTTATTTAGTTTTGAAGTTATAAGTGGGATGCAAGCACATGGTTGCTTGTCTATTGAGTTTATAGAGTCAACGTCATGGAATTCGGAGAATGGTTTGGTTTGAATTCAGAAGTTTCGTTTTTTCCCATATAAAGAGGCTTTGTTGTTTTGGAGAGCACATTGAGATATTTAGTGTTTCAGCCAGTGAGTCTTGAATGTTTTCTGTAGGTACTTTTAGATGTTCTTATCTGGAGGGCTGTAGGGAAACCGTTTCTTTTGCTATGAATGGGCAGAAGATAAATAATCATTAGTACCATCTTATGCACTATGTCTTTATGACTTCTGTTGTAGTTGCTTCTTTGTGGACCTAACCTGTGCTTGTCTTTTAGTTTCTGAGTCCCTAAAATCCTAGATAAATACCTTCAATCTTTGGGCTTCTGTATTTCTGAAATCATAGTATCATAACTGTTCAAAAGGAACTGTTGTTTTTGTTCTGATACATGTTATTTCTCTTATCAATGTTTCATAGTTGGCTTCAGTCACTATCTTAATTTATGATTGTTTCGGATCCTGTCCTTTTTGTTGCATTTTTTTTTTCGTTGACAGACTGTGCTTTGTTTTTCAAGCATTGACAACTGCAGACTTGTTGAACAATGTGGAGCAGCTCACAGTTTCTAGGTTGTTGCTTTATTTGTTGTGGATATAGAATTAGAAGATCATGAGTAAAATGGGAACTCTTGGACGCAGGTTCAGACCTTCTAACTGCTTTCTTTATGACAAATAGTTCATATTTTGGAAATTTTGAAGTCCTAATTTTTTAGCTGTGAAGGAAATCTTATTTTCTGAATGTTGACCTCTTGTTGGTTGCAGTGGGATTATAAGAAAACCAAATGAGAGTATGAGGCTTATTATCACAACTTTTGTTGGGGTTGTTTTTGGATTCTTGATAGGAGTATCCTTTCCGACAATATCATTAACTAGGGTAAACAAACTTTATTTCATTAACTAACTTACTTATTACAATCTTTCTTTCATTTATTTTTGTGCCCATCCACACGTGTCTGTCTGGGCTTTTATTCATCTTATGCTTAATCAATTAGTGGACTTCTCATTTCTTTTTACTAGCCCCTCATTCATCTTTGCTGATGTTATTCAGTAAGGGGGATAATACTTGTTAAATGTGTCTGAATTTGGCAGCTGAACTTGCCATCCAGCATTCTCCCTTCCATTGATCTTAGTTACTTTGACGATAAGAATTCTGGGCTTTCAACTCAAACATCATTTCAGCATGACTGGACTTCTGTAAGTAGTAACAGAAGCGGCTCATCTCAAGCTCAAAACTTAAGTGATACATCCAAGGTACATTCTTTTTTAGATAATCTTAATGCAAGTTATTTGATTTTAAATGATGCACCAAAAATAATACTTTAATTTCAATGTCTTGAAACTGTAGTACTGTTAAAGTGCATGCTCCAACTGTTGGTGAACCATGCCTTTCTTCAGAATGACAGAATTTTGGAGTCAATTAACCTTTTTTCCATTATACATTGATAAAACTACTTGCATTATTACATGTGAAATTATAGGTAGGAAAGTATATGGGATTGAGCCGTCTATTATCAGGTAAAAGGACTTTATAAATGCCACCTGTTAAGAGCTACTAATTAGGTTTTTAATACTTTTCTCTAATTTCATAAAAATATGCTTTACATACATTCAATGGTAGTGCCTTATCTTTTTTTTCTCCAATAGAGTTTCTTCATTTACTGTAGGCTCATATGGTGCAATTTGCTTGTTTTTTTTCCCCTTCTTCAATGACTATTGGAATGCTAAGGATAGCTTCAGGAATGCTGCATGTTTTCCCTAGCAAATCCTTGATCCTTCTATCTCTCATATTTGTTTATTGTCTCAAGACAATTATTTCTCCAGGTTTCTAGAACCCGGTATTTTTCATTTTCTCATATCATCTTCAGCATTAAATTTAACCCTGGAAGCTTGGTAGGAACTAGACCACTAGTCACAATAGACAATAATGGGAATGAAGATCTCCTGAAGAAATTGAAGGAAAGATGAATTGATAAAAAAAATGAAGACGATGACAAGCTTGAAGTCATTTTACTTGGCACCCAGACTCTTGCTGTACAGTGGCACAATTTGTAGAATCAATGCCATATAGTTAGGATAAGACTTAGATGATGATGATGAACACTGCAGTAGTTTAAGAGCTGTTGGGAATAATGAATTTATGCAAGAAGCCTTATTGGAGTCCTGGTAGGTTTGATAATGGGGTGCATTTTGGTGTGCTAGTATTGCATTCCATAGTCCATCAATCTCTACACTGTCTGGACTTCTCTACCCTATCTATCTGCCTCTCTTTGATGCTAAATAGAAACTCCTTGAAATGATGCAGAGCAGCAGAAGTAGCACATATGTTTGGAACAGTTAATGGTGGAAGTGAAATAAAAATAGCTCCTATATTGAGGTCTTTCCATTGTAATGGTGTTTAAGAGATCTAAATGCTGAAGCTGATAGCTTAGCTAAGAAGGGTGTTCTAAAGGTTCTTTTGTACAGACACATCTCTTTTCCTCCCTTGATTTTTGACGCTGAGGATGGGTTTGTAAGGCAATGCATGTTATTTTAATTACATTCTTTTTCTCTCTGATGAAATAGCATAATAATGATAAAAATCAATGAGGTCTTGCTAAGAAAAGCTTGTTTATATATATATTCATACTGCTTGCTTTCTTTTTTTTTTGATTGGTAATGAATGGAGCTTTATTATCTTTGATTAAAGAATGATATATAAGTATAGATGCATAACAAATAAAAGATGTGTCTAAAAACCCCATTGTTTGGGCTACAGCAGCTACCCTCCCACTACAGTTATGTTATCTACAAATTCCCCGGGGGAATCAATCCCCAATACAATTGAGTTCTCTTTGCCCCTTGTCTTGCCAAAGCACCAGCCATATACAGTTGGCCAATCTTGGTATCCAGGTAGATGACATTCAACTCCCTTGCCAGCTGTTTTATCTCCCTAATTACATGTCTGTGTCTACAAGGTCCCACACTAGACACTACCTATCATGAGCCAAAATGTCAATCCCATCATATAAAAAGTATAACATGTGAATTGAATTATACCATCAGATTTCTATATTTTACTGATTTATCCAGCCTCATCCCTTGTTGTATTGCCTTCAGCTTTGTTCTTATTGAATCATCTTGATCAATGGGCCCAAAAAATGCTGTGTCCATTGCTGTTCTTGAAAACACTTCCAACTCCAGAATTGCCTGGACTTCCAAAGCTGCATCCATCAAAGTTCATCCTAATTTTGATGGGAGAGGGAGGAGACTATGATATGACTAAAGAGATTCTTCTTTTCTTTTTCCTTAATGAAATAGTTGCTTTCTTAAAAAGAAAAATAGGAGGCAGAGGCACTATTCTATGAGATGCTAACAGTAATTATTTCTGTTTATGGGGCTGATTTTCTCTTAGGTTTTGATGGCAATTGGTAATTGTAGGCACTGATGTTTTTTATGATGGAAAATCAGCATATTAAAAACATTACTGGTATGGCTTTGTATATCTGGTTAATGGTTCATTATCATACAGCAATCTGATTTGATAGTCAAGTTCCTCTTCAGAGCACTCGAGGAATGCAAACTAAGCTTATAAAGTTTTGTAAAGATGCACTGTATATTATATTTAAGTATGCAAAGAAACATATTGAGTTATTTATAGCAATTTCTTCAGAAAAGCCAGCAGGTTACTGTAGTCGATTGCTGTGCTAATATTAATTGCACTCCTTGTGATTTTGATGCAGATATGGGTTCCAACAAATCCTCGAGGCGCAGAAAGACTGCCCCCAGGAATTGTTGCTTCTGAGTCAGATTTCTATCTCCGAAGGTTATGGGGGAAACCTAGTGAGGTATGCTTTTCATACCAGAATCTTAATGTGAAAGATAAATGTGATCTGTAGTTTTATTGTTCTTTCCATATTCTGTAGTCTTTTTTTTGTCTGATAATTAAGATAATGTATGTATTGTGGCTTCTTTTGTGAATTGTGAGTACTTGATCTACATTGCTACAAGTATGGTGTTCTTTTTCAAGTGCTTCTGTAGTTGAAAAAAATATATTCTGGTGCTCAACGTTCTCTGCTTGTCCTTGTCCCCTTTTAGTCAAGTCAATGTAGTATTGTGTGCTAAAGGATAATTTCTTTTTGGTGTTCTGGTGTCCTTATTGTTGTTGAATAGCAAATACAATAGTGAGTTCTATGCAAAAGGTTAAAAGAAGAATGATTAAGAGGGGGGCATGCTTGTGTGAAACCAGTGTTTTAGAAGTGAAAATTGCAACTAAAGTGCAAGGATTTTTAGAGCCTAAGGTGCAAGGTGAAGTGCTTGCCTGAACAAGTGGGGGCACCTATGGAATAAAACAGTAAAAGGGAAACTTAAGATATAATAATATGCATTTTTAAATTCTGAAAGAAGTAAATCCTGGTCGGTGTGCCTAGAAAATAAGACTTCTCTGTGAGCCTTAGGAACAGTGGAATTAAAGACTCAGATAATCAACCATAGCTATTCTGCCTCATTCACCTTTAAAACATATTTAGTGATGAAGGTGAGGCAAAATATTAGGTCTATACAATTGAGAAAATAAAAGATCCATTGCATGTAAATTAATTGAAGAATTAAAGAAAATGATATTTTGAAGTTTTTTTATTGATAGAAAAGCTCTTGTTCTATGTATCCGTATGCCTTGAAGCATGTTTCTTTTCAATTGGTTTTGATCGTTTTTTACACTTACAGGACCTAACCATCAGACAGAAGTATCTTGTAACCTTTACTGTTGGTTACGAACAAAAGAATAATATTGATGCAGCAGTTAAAAAGGTCAGTGAGGAGTCTCTGTGTGTATATCTGTGTGAGCATGTTTTGACTCATGTGATGTGGGTGTTTGTCTTGGTCACTTATTGTGTGCTACTGCAGTTTTCAGATAACTTCACCATCCTGCTGTTCCACTACGATGGCCGGACTAGTGAGTGGGAAGAATTTGAGTGGTCAAGGCGTGCTATCCATGTTAGTGCAAGGAAGCAAACTAAATGGTGAGGATTGAGGGATCACTGCTACTACTAGCTTTCTATTTCTATGTTCCTGGTGGTGGATTGCTGATTTACTTGTGGCTGGTATCTTTATGTGACGCTTATTGTTCCATAAATCATCTAAATGCTTTGAAATCTTTTGGTCCAAGGTGGTATGCAAAACGGTTTTTGCACCCTGATATTGTGGCACCATATGACTACATATTTATCTGGGATGAAGACCTAGGAGTTGAGCATTTTGATGCAGAAGAGTAAGTCTTTAACATGGTTCCCTTTGTTTTAATGAGAATGAAAAATCTAAAGTGATGGTGACTGTCATGGGACTGTCCAATTCAAATACACAGAACAGTGGGATCTTTAAAATAATATTTTCTTTAGTTAGCATCTATTCTCAATGCTAAACTGAAAATACTATTGGACCATATATGTGATTATTATGGTGACCTTCATGCTAGCTAAATCTTATTGAGAATGCAGTCCATGCACCTGGGAATTTAAGAATTCTTTTGCCCCCTAATTGCAGATATATAAAACTGGTGAGGAAGCATGGCTTGGAGATTTCACAGCCTGGTTTAGAGCCAAACAAAGGGTTAACATGGCAGATGACAAAGAGGAGGGGTGATCGTGAAGTTCATAAGTAAGAGTAAAAATCCTCTTGTCAATCTACTCCTCTCCCCTAATTTCTTTTTTTGCCAAGATGAATTCGTTTGTTGTTGACTTAACTTTTTCTTCCCCGATTTTTACCAGAGAAACGGAAGAGAAGCCAGGCTGGTGCACAAACCCCCATTTGCCACCATGTGCAGCGTATGGACACTCATTATTGTTGTTGTTGTTGCCTTTATTATCATTTGTTGTCATGTCAAAATTATCATCTAAAGGTTTTCTGAAATCTGAATACATCATTTAGAGTTCTCTAGTTGACCTTTCCAAATTCAACCATTCAAGGAGATGCTACACTATATTCGAACATATATTGGACCATTAATGAAGTTATGCTAGATTTCAAGTTCTAAACTAAATGGCCATAAGTGCCACGTGGCAAGGGCTATTGGACTCAAACTTGCACCTTGAATGGAGTATCTAGCTGTCCTTGCTGAACAACTTGTCCCAGCAAATCTATCCTCTACTTTTCACCCCTGGCCCTGTCACTCTTTCCTACTGTAAATAAATATTCCTAGTTTGTCCATTTCTACATGCAGATTTGTTGAAATCATGGCAACTGTGTTTTCTCGAGATGCTTGGCGTTGTGTCTGGCATATGATACAGGCAAGGAGCAATTTTGTATTTTGTTGATTCAATTGGTATTGACCCAATTGTTCCCTCCAGTTATTAAACACCTTTTGTTGTATATTACTACAGAATGACTTGGTACATGGATGGGGGCTTGATTTTGCTTTGAGGAGATGTGTAGAGGTGAGCGTGGCATTCAATTTGTTACCAGGCATTATTTTTCCTCATTAATTTATTAAGCTTCTTTTTGGCTTTCTTTTGATTTTATGAAATAGCCTGCTCATGAGAAAATAGGAGTGGTAGACGCTCAGTGGATTGTTCATCAGACTGTTCCCTCACTTGGGAATCAGGTAAAGTAACCATCAATCACCATGCATATATAGTTTGCAAAAGAAAGAAAACAAAGAAAGCTTAAGCTGCTTCTTTTCACAGGGGCAAGCACAGAATGGGAAAGCACCATGGGAAGGGGTATGCAATACATCATTAGCAAATTTATTTTGTTCTAGTTCTAGTTCTACAATCTCTCTCTCTCAGACACACACACATGGCATTTGAATTAATGATTTATCCATTTTTTGTACTTGAAATTCTTCCACCAATTCATTGGTGTCAGGTGAGGGAAAGATGTAGAAAAGAGTGGACAATGTTTCAGGGCCGGATGGCGAATGCAGAGAAGGCATATTACAAAGAAATGGGAATTGATCCTCCCAATTCAACAACCCGATAGGTGAGTAGTAATGAGAGTGACAGAAGACAACCCGTAAATGATAGTGAAAGGAAGATATAAGCCAAATGAAGGCCAGAGGAAGACATAAGCTGAGGGTGTACAGCTCCAAGTACCATTATGCATTCTGCTTAGGATTTTACTGATTCAGGAGGAAGAGAAAGGAACCCCCTACCATATTTGTTTAGAGTAGGCTTCTATTAATAATATATAATTTTTTATTTCATATCCAGAAGAGTTTATTCCTGTGGTGTTCGAAATTGGAATTCTTACTGCTGGTGCAACGAATTAATTCAGTTGCATACAAGCAATGATGAATGAAATAGATCCTTTTATCTCCCAGTTCCAATCCATTTTTATGGGTTACTGGGGGGAGGGCTATTCGTGTTGTGCAGTCTCTGACACAAAAAAAGGGAAAATTTCCCCTTGCCACCAAAAAAAAGGGAAAACTTTGCTAGATTGTGCTTGTACAGACAAATCCATTGTATTTTCTCCACGTTGGACGGTTAACAACCTCCTGATTTGTGGGTTTCCAAGTACTAATTCTAATTGGCAGAAAAAAAAAAAAAGAATCAGAAATATATCATGTTTCTGTTTTTTATCCCATATAAATAAATAGCTGCAATCCTGGATCTACCCTTCAATGAGATCCACCATGCCCATGTTATCGATAAATCATCTTGAACCATCATCTTAAATCATTGACCTTGCTTTTGTTGCATCAAATTTGGTCTATTTAAAGTTTTAAACGTTGGGGATCCCAAGGAGTGGGGCTAAAGGTGGTTGAGGTTAAAGTTCAACTTGTCATGCTTCCTGTTCTGAAATCGATATGATTCATCCTAGATTCTGTTAAGATGAAATGATGAATCAATTTAGGGCTGTTCATAAATTTTATAAACCGACCAAATTAATTAAACTAGACTGATTTGATCCGAAGCGGTTGGCATCGGTTTGAGAAATGTCAAAATCGAAATAACATGTTCTCCATCGGTACCCCACAGCACATCCGAGCCGTGTAGTGGGAACAATGACAAGTATGGAAGATGCCTGAGATGTGTATGTAGGCCGCGTGTGGTACTGATGTGATCTCGTAAAAAAAGATGATTTGGTGTGGTTGTGGTTTATAGTGTTGAAACCCTCGGTCCATCTCACGTTTTAATCAAAGTACAATGTTTATTATTTATTAATTTTTTGTTGAGTCTTTTCTTGCAATAATCTTTATCAAAAGAAAATTGTTTAAAACTCATCATGAGTTTTTAGCATCTCTTAAATTCATCACACTTTTTTAAATATCTAAAACCCATCATGTCACTAACTTAGACATTAAACAGACTAACAGTGTTAATATATTATCATTTTAACCTTCACAGAAATATATAAAATATATACAAAATAAATTAATGGGTATTAATATATTACCATTTTAATATTTAGAAGGAAAAAGTTCAAAAAATATTTTCAAATATAAAATACATAAAAACATAGAAATTACAAAAAATATAAAAAAAATTAGAAATTGTAAACAAATAAAAGTTATTTTCAAATTATAGAAACTATAGAAGATTGTTGTAGCATCTAGCAATAACTTGAAAATTATTTTCAAATTATAGAAACATAGAAAAAGTTCAAAAAATATTTCCAAATATAAAATACATAAAAATTACAGAAAATATCAATTGCTAACAAATAAAAATTATTTTCAAATATTTTGCCTGCAGGCGGAAAATCAAGAAGCAACCATCCACAATTTGTCGAACATATGTGATATGGCAGAGACCATGTGCAAAACAAATCTCTTCGACCCCCCAAGTCCCAACCCACGTGGCCTCACGGCTTAACTGTCCAACGAGTGATATAATAACAGTAGCCAGTAGGCGCTATAGAGGTTGTAAGCCATTTCTGCAAAGCATTTATAGCAATGATTGAAAAACATGTCTGGTTGTACTATAGAGAGAGAGATAGGGGGGAGATATACAGATACACATATACACTAGAAATGCCGCTTGTCTTGGTTATTTTTCCAAGACCCTCTTCCATAAGAGTAAACGTAGCAGCTATCTAATATCCTAAATGCATACACCGGAAGAAACAAGGTGCCTGTTGGTATCCTCGTGTTGCCCTCCGCGCTCAATGGCAGACATAATTCCATTCCATCTCTTCACTACTTTTTCAAATCCCGCTCCAGTTGCAAAGGGTCTTAGAAAATGGTTGATAAGATCAACTGCTGACAGAATTCAGCCCTCTGGCTTCTCTCTTTGTAATCTTGTTCCCGAACTTCATCTGATGTGGGTGGTTCCACGCTGCATCAACAAAAAATTGCATCAGCCATATCCTCTAACAGATCAAGTCCTAAAACAAACTACCTACTAGACCTTTGCTCCTAAGATTCTGGTTACAATGAGGACATTAGAAGGAGGAAAAAAAATGGAATTCCCAATGTCCCACCTATAAATACATTTTTTGAATTACCATATTACATGAATTCCTAGACCATTCTGTTGGAGGCAGATCTCATAAATTACAGAGGGATTATATATCAATGTACTTGGTTGACTTCATTTGAAATTACATTAACAATGCAGAAGGACCATTCTTGAAATCCTGATATGACTTCGGAGGGTGTTCACCAGTATGGATGATCTTATTTTATGAAACAAAAACAATTGTGACATCAGAAAAAAGCAATTGACAAACACCCATTCGTTTGCCAAAGAAAAATAACTCTTGGAGGTGCAAAAGTGGTAGCTATATACTTACACAAAGTAGTCTACCCTAATTTATGAATCACCTTATCTGAACATATTTCATTCAAGGACCCATCATAGACTTGGAACAGGTAGGCCAATTAGTCCATGTTTTGTCAGTTTTCACACACAAACACACGTGCATACACAGATTTGATGTTATCAGGAAAATGTGCTAAATCAATTAAAACCTGAATTATAACTTCTAATTCCATGTCTATTTTGTTTTGGGAAGTAAATCCTATATGCATCACATTTCGGAAAAGGCTTCACATAGAAATTTCAGTATTGTACAAGTAGAAGAGATCTTACCACCTCTCATGAAGCAAAAAAGAGAGGGAAAAAATAAGAAAACAAGCAATATCTTTCCATAGCAGAAACAACCATTATTTTCTTTCTAAAAAATAGAAAAAGAAACTATACAACACATTATTTTCATTCTAACTATTTTATCTTATTCTTACAGTATTTCCAGTGGTTTTGCCTGTTTCTACAAATTGCAATTTTATCAGTATGCTTTGGTCCATTTGACAACATTCAATTTATGCAGAAAAACCCAAATCGATGAAAAAACAAAAAAAGGGGCCAAGACAAGCTTCAAATGCTAACCAAGGCAGAAGGATATTTATTCCTTGTACAAGGCTCAAGAACTTGAATTGTTTTCTGGATAGGAAATGGATACCACCCTCCCTGGGAATTCTGAAACCTCTTATTTGCACCTTCCACTTGTTGTTACTCTAATCCTCTGCTTGCGTGGACAGTCAACTGTCAATATAACTTACATCTTGCTTTTATCCACTCACCACCCCCCACATAATTTTGCTTCAAATATCACCATTCCACATTATTTTTTGCTGCAACCCCAAAGCTGGACCATACATAACCTATTATCATGTCATCTTTCCTGCTACTACATTGGCTTCTCTAAGACTGTTCTCAACTTTATTCATCCCCTAATACAACTTTCTCAACATTTGATTTCAATATCATAATGCAGATACGTATTTCTTCAGATCTATCCTGCAGGAACAACTTCCAGTTCTATGTCAATTGTGAATCTCAATCTCTGTGCACATATTTCAGATTCCACTTTGACCAATACAAGCAATAAGTATCCAATAGAATTTTTTTTGGATGATAAATCATCATTACATACCATTATGGAAAATTGGAAGAAACAATATTTCCTTATTTATTGGAATTCCAAGCTGAAAGTGATCTTAGCATCAGCTAAAAGTAGTGGTTTATAATAACTGCTTCACAAGCCTTAGGTAGATTTACTACTTTCCTCCTTCCCCTCAACATCTCTGGTCCCAGATTTCATCATCTTACGATATTTCCTTCTGGTTTACAGGAAAAAAAACACTATAACTTTGGTTCACCACAAAAATCATACTTCTGAAAAAAAAAGGAAAAAAAAGGCATGTAAAATTACTGACAAATACTAGACACTGAAAAGACGTTCAAACACCAAGGGCAATGACATGAATCAGGTGAATCTGAAGTTTACAACACAAGGATTAAAATGCCCTTTTGAGTTCCAAGGATTAACATGTTAGTCAAGCAAATTTGGCAGAGCACAATCAGCACTGAGAGACCATATGCAGGGTGCAGAACAACTGCAAAAACAAAGAATGACCACATTTGCTACAATTCTTATATATGATCTCCATTTGTGGTACTGCAAGCCATGTCTTCCAAGAGGCAGGTGGAGATATTTAAAAAGTTGTTTAGTACATGGCATGCTCCAAAATCAATATTCAACTCCTTCACATTGCATACAGGTGGAGGAGAATTTATCATTAATTCATTACTATGCACTCCATAGTTCAATGTCTCTGGTGGTCTTTGCAACACTATAACATAATAGTAGGAAAAACAAAGCATGCATTTATCTAAGCTCTCAAATATCTAATTTTTTCTATCAGCAACTCTCAAATATCTATTAGTTGGAACAAGGGGATACCGTTTTTCATCACAAGTGGCAGCCACATCATTTCTAGGATTTGCATCCTGGACACCTTTGGTGTCTGGAAGAGCCACAAGGCAGAGAAATGGTGAAAGCAGTGGATCAGGTGCAGAACCTAGTGTGTTAATCCTTCCATTTGTCGAAGTAACACTGAGAAACGAGCTCAATTCTCGTAGTTCCTTGCCAAGCATTGCTGAACTATTTGTTGATAGGCCTGATCTTTGAGATTTTCTCCTCCGCTGCCAAAAAAATTTATAATAATAAATGCATTGAACAAAACTGAATGATGAAACAGGATTCATGTAGCTGACCCCATATAGATAGGACATGGCTTAGATGATGATGATGATGAGCTTAAATGCATAGCCTCCTATTTATTAATTGTATGCCCACTGTTCCCCCATTTTTAATTGTACCTTCAACAAATGTGAGTGCTGCACTGTAAAATGTCCAATCATATCCTTGCCTAAATTTGCCGCACATACTGGGCATACCTGCAAATTGCAAAATGGTAGTGATTATTCAAGTTGGTAAACCTCAATCTAGATCAAGAGACCCAATATGACAATTGGAAAGTAACATTATGAGGCTAATTAGAATTATCATCAACATCAATCTATAACCTTGAGGATTGAAGCATCCAACAGAAGAAAAGGATTATCCTCTGTGATATGTAATGTTTCCTTGTCCACATATTCAAAATATAGTTATTAACTATTCAAATTGTTAGCATTAGTAACTGATGTTTGCCTGCCAACTCATTCACCAATACTTGAAACCATGCTTTAGAACCTACATCTCAGGATGTCTAAATACTGGCTCAGAGTCCTATTACAACCAGATACAGTAACATGCTTAGCATACTGGTTTCTGACACCATACTTATCTGACATTATATTAGATACTGGCATACTGCAAGGATACTTTCAGATTATACTTTATGGTAGGAATACTTCTAAAACTCTGTAAAATTTATATTTTAACAAATCATACAATTATAAATTTAAAGATGTTAGAATTTATGTTAGTTTTACATAACATTCAAAAATGGTATCTAGCTTAAAAAACTACATAAAAAAGTATGATATTTATTGATCAATCATGAAAAATTATGGTGTTACCATATTATGTGGGCATATGTGCCCTGTCTCTCAAGAAACAGAGTTGCATCCCTGTTTCCTGTATCTGTATCTGGGCATCTTAGGGTTACACCATTCATGTGAGGATGAGGCCTATGAATGTACTGATGTGGCAACAGAACTTCCCATTGTAACATTTTATTTATTTATTTGGTTTCTTAGGCACCATTTTGGTTGTTATATTAAACAAATTGGTTTCTCGATCTATATGCAATGTTTTAAAAACTGACCCAGAAAAGGAACCACTTTTCTGTCTGGTGGTGGGTCAGTGGTTTGATTGTCAGGGTCAAAATGGGTCAACCTGTGACATCATAAATAAAATAAAAAAAATGTAAAGAGATAACACATCATATACAGAAAAATGTAATGAAAGGGCATGCCTCTAATAGTATATATTCATAATATTAAACAAAAATAAGTGTGATAAATGAGAACCATTGGCTAAAAATACAAAAAAAAAAGGAGAATTAATCATGACCAGTGACCTGCTGACTGAGTTAAGCAGTTCAGCAGTTCAACTGGCTAGGTCACTGGATTGTTGAGTGTTGACCACGGTTCATGGTGAAACGGGCCCAGAAATGTGACCAAGTGGCAAGTCAAATGGTATGATCTTTGACCATGGGTTAAAAACACTTGTTATATGTTATTAATTAATTATACTTCCTAGTCTTTTCATTCAATTAAGGGTATTTAATTATTCATATGGTTATGATAGTGTACTGAAGATGTTCCCCATTCTTATTGAAGTCAGTTTTACCTGTTTTTATACATTAGTACTTATCGACTCCCAAAGCCCAAAGTTCATTTCATAGACAAGCTTGGCCTTGTGATAATGTTGGAAGGGTGGGGATCAAAAACTCCACTTCGTCTCTAGAAACAGAATCGACAGGAATAAATGATTCTCTTTTGGGGTTAATGTGCAGTGCTTTCATCTTTTCAGTTATTAATTTACTTGTCTATGGAATTTTGTTTTCAATTCCCAGCCAAAAATTAAAAAACCAAATAAAAGGAAAATATACCAAGTAAAGACAAGCAAAGTTTGAACACTTCACATACCGCATTTTTCACATCAAAACAGTGCTCGTCCTGCAGATGAGCACAAAGCACATGGATTTCAATCTCTATATAACAGAAAGGACATGGAAACCAAGCCCGTATGTCATCATCCCCTTCAGAATCATCGAAACTCAAGTGGTTTTCTGTTGATACAGAAACAAATGTCAGATAGGTAAGACGTTGCAGGAGAGTCTCCTACCTCCTACAAGTTCACAATTGAAGGGCAGATCACAACCTGGAAACTTCAAAGCAATAATGCAGACTGAGTTTATTCATTCCATGCAATAGTTTGTGAAAGCGCAGGATAAAGGGAGGGAAAGACTTGCAAACAAGACACTTTGGATAATTGCACAAACAGTGTATTTTCTTGGGAATCGTACAATCATATGAAGTGTTTCTCCTTCTTAGTAATTAACCAGAATAAATAAATATAATAGACCGACTTATAGTACAGGGAAAAGGAAGAGGAAAGTCGGTCCAAAATGATGTTTCTACCACGTAATCCAGCCAAAGACATCCTCAGAGAACTTGGACAACTCGGTACCAGGTACTCAGAGAGGTCCAAGTTAAATATGTGCTTAGAGAGATTTTCTAGATTCCGAAACGAAAAAGAAATCAAAACCCAAGTGATAATTGCAATAGAGTTGCCCTCCAAAACATCAAAATGGAGAAAATGTTCGAGAATCTTTAAATCCAAGCAGTGATCTCACTCGGGTAGAGTGTTAATAGAAACTAACAAGTAATAATCAACACCGACAAGAACATCGTCCTCGTGAACACCAGTCATCTCTAGAAATGATTAAAACCCAAAAAGATATAAAATTGATTGAAATTCTAAGTAAAAGGAAGGATCTAGAATTAGTTTTTTCTTCTTAAATAGGTAAGTCCGGTAACCCAACAGAAATCATCCTAAAAGAAGGAATGGGGGAAACGTGGTTATACCAGAGTTGAGTCTGGCGGCTTGCATCGCAGTAAGGTGCTTGTTGGAATGAACCCTAGAAGCCCAGAAATCGATGTTCATGGATGTCAATTATCACGGCAAAGAGATTGTGTTCCGGCAAGGAGATTGAGTTTTCAGGGAAGCAAAAGAGACAAGGAAAAAGGCAGTGAGAGAGGATCAGAGGACCCCTCTATCTCTCTTTCTCTCACTAGTGTTGTTGGTGCTCCCCCTACTAGCCGTCTGACAAAACATCCAAGGCTTTATTGCATATATCCTACACCCACACAAAGATGTAGAATAAAATGTTTTACACGTGGCAGTTACAGGATTTAGAAAAGGTGTTAAAAGAAAAGGAAACCGAATTAAGCACTTGGCACATGACACAAAACAAAACAAAATAAGATAGACGACACATTTCATAAATTAAGAAATTGAAAGGAGAGAGAGAGATTAAATTCAGAACATTAAAGTTGAGACATTCATTATTTGTTTTCTTCTCTCTACTAACAAAGTAACAATTTCTTTGTCGGGAAATTCCATGGTTTTGTCTCTTAACCTTTAATTCCTCATCTTCTTATTAACTATCAATTATTTTTTAATCTATTTTACTTTGCATAATAATTATCGTGAATTAAAGATGAAAAATCCATTAAAATAACCTTAAGTTTTGGAGGAAAATGATAAATGGATTAATTCTTACTGTTTAGAAATTATCATTAAATATTTTTAATTCTTTAATAATTAATTAAATCTTTAATATTATTAAGGCTTAATTTGATATTATTTTGTATATATTTACATTGTACATATTTATATTTATACATCTTTCAAACTGAACCTAATATTTCATCAATATCCATTCACGTATCAAAGTCGTCTTTTGCTTATGTATATTTGTTTTTAGGACGCATGGGTCACTGTGCTAAGAGTCATTCATCTTTATAATTGTTTCCTGTTCTATCAAAAAAATACCCACCCACATATGACACTATGTAACATAGAATTTTTTAAAATCTAATTAATATTATCCATTTGTGATCAATTTTATTCCTATTATTTATTAAAATTTCTAAATAAAACTTAATATTGCCCATATTCACCAAGATTTAAAGTAGAAATATCACTACAACTTTTAAACAACCATGGCGAAGGCAGAATTTCATGTCTTTTATTTTTTAGAATTTATTTACCTTTACTTAGTAGTGAAGCAATCTCGATGTGGAACTGACAATTATTAATTTGTAGAACATGGCTTTTATAGAACCCTGTGAAAGCATTACAGTTTGAGGTAAAGCTAATTGTTGACAATGAATTGAAGCATTGAAACATATATAGGTGTACCATATATGCAATAGGCTGGGTTGAAAGTTATAATTCAGCATCCCAAATATATATATATATATATATAACTACATTGAGTTTATGAGCTTAGAGAATGTTCAAAACCAACAGATTAGCGTTTTTTGTTTCATGGTTGAGTTGAAGAAATAGACCATTTCAGGGTGGTGGACGTTCCAAATACAGGGTGGTTGGTGTACCATATGACTGTGAAGTCGGTGTGAAATGAACTCACATCTGCGCCCCGTGATGCCCCACAGCACAGCACATCCCCACCTTGTATCACACTGGGAGATGGGAGATGTTCCCAATACAAGGTAGGGATTTGCTGTGGAGCATTGTGGGGCAAAGCTGTGAATTCGTGTGAAACATACTTTGTAAAGAGTACATTCGGATTCTTTCACATTGGAGTGAATGGATCACCTGCCAATAAAGGGTTGAAACGAGTGTCCAATCAATCAGACATATTGCATGTTATTATTAGTTCGAATAAACGTTTTGTATTTATATGATTGTAAAATGGAGAAAAATAATTAATGAGGATGTTTACGACCCATAGGTGCTATTTGGTATAAAAAACCTACTCATTAGGCACACAAAAATTGATATTTGTTTTGTATAGCAGCATTTATTCAATAAATTTAAATGGAACCAAACACATACTTTGTGTGTGATGATCGGTTATTACTATTTACTATTATTATTTTTTTGAAGCTAGTAATGAAAATACTATTTACTATTATTATTTTTATCAAGTATCTTCGTCACTCATTATATTTTTGTCATTTTGTGCCCTGGCTTGAATAAAGTAGACACAAGCATTGCGATTCGTCAAACACATGCTATTTACTATGGTGATACGTGGCACAATTTAAACCACCTGATCCAAAACACCTGTTTTAATGGCGAATAAAAAGCCAGACGGCGCCATGATTTTTGCGCTTGAGTTTGTTTCCATTCACGTCGGACATGGCCCACTAAAGTGGTACACTAAAATAGGTATGCATGTTAGGCTGTTAGCATGTGGGTGAGTGAGATGATGAAAAAATAGGGAAAGTCTCATATTTTCGTTTACAATATTTTATATTGTAAATTTAATTTTTAAATTTATATCTTTTAAGTTTAAATCTTTTGAACCAACTTATTAATTTGATACAACTTGAATTGTCAATTTTTACTAATAGTTGGTTGGTTTTAGGTGACCAACTCTTTAACCCGACCAGGTTGGTTTGGTTGGCCAAACACCTTACAACTGAACTAAACTGACCTATGAACACCTCTAAGAGTAGTGGGCAATCTCTCTCTCTCTCAGCTTTTTATTTCATAAATTGTTGAAATCTTCCTTGAAGATTTTGACTGTTGCTAAAACCTCCCCTGAAGTTTAGTAATTGCAATTACTTCCCCTAAACCTTCTAACATAATACTTCCCCTGAACCCTCTGTTAGACATGAAAATATCCAAAATACCCGTACAATTAATAGTAGGGGTGGTTTTTACAGAAAAAAAAATATAAATTTTATAAACAACAAAAATATATATAAAATTTAAAATTACAACTTTACCTTTGAGTGATTGATATGAAAAGCAAATTTAAAAAATAAATAAATTTAAGAAAGAGATCAAAGGGTTTGAACTAGTAATTCATATGAAAAAAAAAATTGAAGAATAAACATTTTGATCAAAAGTTACTCCTTTGACATTTTAGACATGTTCATGCCTCTTTTAAAAGATTTTAACAAAGAGGATCTGCAATTATGTCAGAAAGTTTAGAAAAGTGATTACGATTACCAAATTTCAAAAAAAAAAAAAACAAACATTTTAACAACAATAAAAAATTTCAAAAAAGGTTTTAACAATTTATCTGTTTTCTTTGGTAGTCGTCTTTCTCGGTTCTCGGCTTCAAGTAACGAGGACACGAAGATAAGCATAGAGACAAAAGCAGACAGGAAGGTTCAAACATTAATAATAGAAATAAAAGGTATGGTGTAGGAAAATGAATGTGCCACGCCCACCAACTCAGCTCAGGCACTGCTGCTCCTACGTGTACACACACTACATTACATTACAGAGATGAGAGAGAATATGAGATTCGGTAGATTTCAGAAGGCCAGCACATTGCAGCCAAAAGCCAAAGGAAGGAAAGGTGGGACGACTACGAGCATGTGGAAGATGGCTCTATTGAATGTCGACATTCCACCTTTTTTTTTATTTGCTTCGTGGGCATTCACTAATTTCATTGGCTGGTTGACGTGTCTCTGACTCTTAGGACCAAATTTTTGACCTCTAGTGCCACCTGGAATATGCTTTTCTTCCTTACCTTTACGGCTGTACCTTTTTTACTGATTTTTTATTATTTTTTACTAAATACATGCCAACGTATATTATATATATGATTAATATACTTTGGCAATTATTCAGTATGATCTCTCTCTCACTCTAAAAACAGTTATTTTTTATCAAAAAAAAAAAAAACAGAGAAAACGTTCTAACACATTCTAACATGATTAATTAATGTCTTCCTTACCTTCGGCTAAATTGAATTTATGATCCTTTTGTTGAAAATATGGTATTTAAATCAACTTCATCAATAAGAACATGCTAAGTTTATAATTAAACATATGTATTGCAATAATATTATTGGACTCAGATTAACATGGATGTAGAATATAGATGCAATCCGGCTATAGATGAATATGGATTTTAGATCTAAACCAGTTTGAATGAATCAAATTTAAGACTCTTACACAACTAAGGAGGGCATCATCACGGCTTGTTTGGTATTAGTAGTGCTGCTTGAATAGGGCCTAATCCGAGCCCGACCCATTTCAACTTTAAGTTGGTCTTACGTAAAAAAATTCAAGTTTAACTTAAATTCAAGTTAATTTAAAATATTTTATATTATAAATTTATTTTTAATAATATTATTATAATTTATTAAATTTAAATTTAATTTTTAAGTTTAAATCTTTTGAACAAACAAATTAAACTAAAAATAGACCAAAACTGATACAACTTAAATTGACGGGTTTTCACTAATGGTTAATCGGTTTCAGGTGACAAACTCTCGACCTAACTAGATTGGTTTGGTTGGGGAAACAACCTACAACCAAACTAAACCAATCTTTGAACACTCCTAATTTCAACTAAATTAATAATCTAATCTCTAATAAATCAAGGTTTTAAAAATGGACTCAGAAGTCAAACTGCTTTGGCCATTGGTTTCTAGGTCAGCGGTTCGATCGTCCAGGTTAAGCAGGTCAAAACGGTCAAGGTAAATCTTGACCATTGAATTAGCATTTAGGTCATAGGTTGGGAAGAAATACAAATAGAGAGAAGAGGTAGTTGTAAGCTATCGGCTGGGAAAGGAAAGGAAACAAACAAACAAACAAAGGAGAAAGGGGAAGAGGAGGACGTGGTGGTTCACTCACAATGGTAGCGACAACGACGACGGTAACAAGTAGTAGTGATGAGTTGATAATAACTGATCCGACCTTCGATTCCATCTAAGATCTTGTAGATCTCTCTCTCTCTCTCTCTCTTGTCTCACTGGTCTCGGATCTAAGATATGAATACTAACATCATTTCAATCCCTCCCCCATCTCTTGATATGCTCTTGTTAAATGTTAACAACTCAATAAACCGTGAATCGTTGTTTGGGTCAAACAGTTTAGCGGTTCGATTGCCTGGGTCAACGGTTTTCTGACTTTTTTAATGTTTTTTTGAAAAAAGCGATTCATAGTATAATTGGAACTGAAGACCTGGTCGGTTCCCAATTTTTCCGATCTAACCGTTTGGGCTGGTTTTGAAAACATTGTAATAAATAACCATAGTTTAATCTCCAATAATTATAAAAAATTTGTAACAAAAATACATAACTATTAAAAACAAATTTATAATGACAATGCA